GGTCTGGAAATCTGAGATTCAGCATCAAGTTCAGTTTAAAAGCGCTACTAAAATAATCCTTCTTTGGCTCCACCTACAGGACACGTTTTGGTTTTGTATTTTATTTTGCAACAAATCGTCAAAGAGTCGTGGAAACTCGCGAGGGCGACATAGGAAAAAGCAATAAACCAGTAGATGGCACTAATAACACATTCTCTATTGGGGAGGGTATATTTGGTTGTGTAACTCACTAGGGATTATGATCTGCACAGTGTTCATTGTTCATCCATCCATCCATCCATCCATTTACTGTACACCCTTGTCCTTTGAGGGGCCAGGAGGGATAGTGTTCATTGTATTCTTTGTTATTTTCATTGTAGCATTTATTTGCGGTCATATGTGGGTTTTGGGATGACTAAAGTTTTGATTATTTACATCTTCACAGACAACATTACAATGTTTGAGTTGCGTTGTCAAAATAAATGTATCCTATTTGGATGATATTTTATTCAGAAGATAACTTCCTCAAGTTTGTTTATGTTAAGGTCTTTGATTAGGCATCAGGTCCAGTAGTGCTAAAGGTTTTACAGTTTTCAAAGAAAAACTGTAAAACCTACAGCAATGTTGCTAATATTTACTCAAAGCAGACACTCGTAGCCATGTTTGGATCCATAAATTATTTCTGTAGAGTAAAATATGTACATGAACAGCAGCATTTTGCTTGTGAAAAAACATCAAGCTTGGAAATTTGTCAGTTACTAAACTGCACATTGTGTCCATTGAAGAAGACACCATTGGATTGCATCGTGAAACTGAAAAATTTTGAATAAAACTTAAATCGCAATTTTATAAAAACTGTAGCAGCAAAAAGATTAATAATTTGCAGATAGCCTAAAGCCTTGTGACTCACCTAAACTGTGAGTGGAGTTTCTAGCTTAAAGTAGACAAAAGTACTTAGTTTTCAAAGAATAACACTGCAGAATGTTGACATTTTCCATGCATTTCAATGGAGCAAAAACTGCCACAAAAAACGTAATATTTTAAAAGTATAAAGAGTATTCAAACCAAAGGTCACAGTCATAATGTCCTTAATGAGATGAATGTTTCTGATGGCAGAAATAGCACAAAGTAAGCCAACGTAGGTAGGATAGTTATAAAATAGCCGGAATAATAAAGAGAAACTGGACCAATTATCCTTCTTTGGCGCCACCTGCAGCTCACATTTTGTTATTGCAGAAATCCTTCACTGAATTGTTTCATTTTGCAATAAATCCTCCCAAAGCGCCCACTTACATCCACGTCAACACAGTTTCGTTCCTAGAAACTTTTTATATAACTTCTTAAGTTAATGATCAGTGAAGGTTTGTTGGGTTTTTCATTGTTTTTTAACCGGAATCCGGTTTTTCCAGGTGTGTCGCTCCGCAGGTGTGTCTACACCTTGCTTTTCGTCAGTTAAAAACACGGAAGTTTTGAGGCTGAGGGAGGTTCTCCTGCGGAGTGAGGCAACACTTCATGCTGTCATCCAGTCTCCAGCGCATAAATCTGTCCAGACTCCGAACCTGAACGCTTTCTGAGCGGATCTTTTGGTGAAATGGCATCCGCCGCGCAGACGCAGCCAGGCGGCACGGAGAGCCTGACGCCGTCCGCTGTCAACCACATTTTGATGGAGTTCGTGATTTACTTCGGCCGAGCCGTGGCGGTCTTCTACCCGGTGTACCTGACCGGGTACCTGGGCCTCAGCATCAGCTGGATCCTGCTCTGCATGCTCATGTTCACCTGGTGGCAGAAGAACCGGCGGTGGAAGGACGTCCGGATCGATTCTGCGATCGATTTAGTGGATAACGAGTCGCATATTATCAGCAGCGAGCTGAAGAACACCTTACAGATGGCTTCATGGGTGAGGAGGAATCTAATTTTCATAACTTTAGAGGTTTAGTGTCAGCAGATGGTTTGACTTTCCAAGCTGGGAGCAACATTCCTGACATTCTGCATGTCAGGAATTGGGTTTTTCACTCATTTAATGCACCAATGTAGTAAAGAAAAAACGACACAAGTTCAGGACTCCATGAAAGTTGTTTTTGTTCTTTATTTGCATGAGCAACCATGAGCCTGACCCACGGATTGGTGTTCAGTTTTGTTGCAGGAGTTTTACCTCTGCACATTTAACTGCACCACACCCAGAAACAGTGACTCATGCAACTGGAGAAGAACAAAACTTGTTTCAGTGTCGGAGGAATGTGTGTGTGATCACATCATGGGGTTTATCAGTGGATTGTAGCAAAATGCTTACTGGTTTTAAAGTCAAAACACAGTATCCACCTGCAGAGCACAGTTTGTTTCTGACACATAAGATACAGAGCAGGACTGGAGCCACTGGAAAAACAATTAAATCTGACTTTTTACTCCAAATTCTACAATGTAGAAATTGTACATTGAAGAAAAAAGATAAAAAAAGGAGTACATTTCTGACACCAAGTCAGAAATTCTTAGATTGATATCAGGAATATAATAGAAAACATGAAAATTTCTGAGCTCCATGTTTAGAAATTGCTCAGTCAAAAATTTGCAAGAAAATTTTGAGATTTTTCCAGAAAAAAATATGGAAATTTCTGACTTTTAAACGTTGAAACTCGGATTTCTGACTTTTGAAACTCTGAAATTTCCAAACTTTTTCCAGAAAATTTCTGAGATTAATTAAAACATTTCTGAGGGTTTTTTCCACAAAACTACAATCTTTTGAGATCAGAATTTTTCACTTTTTCGAGAAAATTTCTGAAATTAATCTCAATTTCTGGGCTATTTCGGCAGAATTTTACTCCTTTTTTCTATCTACAGTGGCCGTAACGCACTATTGCAGAATTCAGACTCTTCTTCTCCAAATTCTGACTTTAATTTCAGAGTTTTGACTTTTTGCTGTCCAAATTCAGATTTTTTTTATCCAAATTGGGATTCTTTTTCCTCAGAATCCTTTTTGTCCAAATTCTGACTTTCTAAGAATTTTGACTTTCACTATCTGAGACTAGAAATCAATTTGGAAAAAAATCAGAATTTGTTAGTTTATTTCCAGTGTTGCTGCTTCAAAGAGGCCTTAAAACCACCAAACCAATGTGCTTTAAATATGAATGATTTTTAATTACAGAATGGAAAATTGAATATCTTTTAATTAGTTTACTCACAGATTTATTGTTTAATCCAGCATTACTTCTGCATTAACTGTTTTCCTCCCAGATTTGATCACAAATCACTTTATAACTCTTTTATTTGCTTCGTCTAAAGGTTCACTTCACCGACGTTGAGAAAGTTCAGTGGGTGAACAAGGTACGGTCCTGCTCACAGTAAAGTTATCCTCCGCTGTATTTGTTGGGTTCTTCTGTTGAGCTGGCTGTTGTGGAACCATTGGTTCTGATTGGTTGTGCTTTGGGTTTGGTCATGTGATCAGGTGCTGGAGCAGGCTTGGCCCTTCTTCGGGATGTACATGGAGAAACTTCTGAGAGAAAACATCCAGCAGACGGTCAGGATGTCCAACTCTGCGCTCAAAATGTTCAAGTTTACCAAGATCCACTTCGGACACAAAGTGAGTCTGATTCATAAACAAGTTTAAACTTGACGTAAAAAAGAAAGTACATAAAACTTAACGTAAGAAAAAAGCACATAAAACTCTGATTTTACAGTTTTATGTATAAAACACACTTCAGATTGACTTTGAACTGAATGGCAGCTAACTTAACTACTTTGCACCTGGTAATCACTTCTTTCTCTTTTTCTGCTGAAAGTTTAACTTTAAATCATGTGAAAAGTAGGGCTTTGCAATATTGACTTAAAAGTTTTATCACAAAACTCTGTGGTACTATTGTAATAACAATAACAGTAACAATAACAACTATTATTACTACTTTTTTAGGTAAATGTATGGCTATGCCTGCAAATTCTGACTTTAATACTGCTGTCAGTAAACCGCACATACTAACTGCATTTAATCATATTTTTTATATTTATATACCTACCTTGAATGAACAGTGGAAATTATATCAAAAATTACAATCCTGATAATACTGACATTTTTCATGCATTGTTTATTGAAATTGATCACATTGATAAATACATTTTAAAAAGATATTTATTATAATCGATCCGATAAACGTCCACCCGTATTCTGCAAAAACACAAAATCTTACCAAGTATTTTTGTCTTGTTTCCAGTGCAAATATCTTGGTACACTTGGAATAAGACAAAAACTAACTACAAGTAACTTTTGAGCAAGATAAGAGGGTTTTTTAAGACAATAACTCCTTAATTTTGATGGGAGATTACTTAACTTAAAACATGGAAACAATGTCTTCTTATAAGTGAAATAATCTGCCAACAGAACAAGTAGTTGTATCTCCTTTTTTACTTCAGTAGTAGCACAAAAATGAAAAGAAAAATATACGCCAGTAAAAAATTCATGAAAATGCTGGTTAAAAAACCTATTTTGTTTCTTGTATTTAAATTGTATTGCCTAAAATAAATACAATTTAAATATTACCTTTAGTCTCAAGTTTGAAGCATAAAAAAACATTTTTAAAACAAATATTTTTACATTTTTATTCTTCTTAATAAGCAAGTACATGTTGTATTGGTAAAAATGTATTTTCTTGTACATGTATAGCATGCCAGATTATGTACTAACAATCACATATTAAAAAAAATAAAATAAAAATAAAACGTTACCTTTTAGCAGCCACAAAAGTGGACGTTTCCAGCTGAGTTGTTGCAGCATCGAGGACGCGTTATTGTGAAATGTCAATTCCGTTTTGCAGCGCAGACTCTCAACTATATTTTTTAAATATTTATACTTAACTTATAGTCATGCCATAATTTTGACACTTTTTGTCTCTTTCTTGGCGGCATCTCTTTCCGTCCCTCTCTTTGTCCTCCGTAGCTGCTAATAGCATTTAGCAATCGTCAACGGCTCGTTGGCGGAAGTGAGAGGTTTGTGCAACGCAAATAATGGTCCGACCGGAACACAGCGCGCTAAATGGTAGAAGATAATTTAACGAAGCTTCGACATGGATAATTTGCCTCGAGGAATTTTATCCTCAAGGTTCTTGAGTCATTCGACGAATCATTACAGCATTGGGGTCGGTATTATAGTGTAAGGACGTCTGTACTGTTGTCTGATGATGACGCTCAAGGTTGTCAGTAATGTCCGCCATATTAAAGTAGGTTAGCGTGTTTTAAGCCCCTGACTCTGATGCTGCTACTTTCTCAACAAGTAAAATCAGCTCTGTCCGTCCACTGCTGCGTCTCTAGTCCTGTCTGTTGTTCAGGTGAACAAGGAAGCATTTACTGCTTTTATTTTGTTCAAGAATGAAACAAAGTAGATAAGATTTTCTCATGTTTTTATCACAAACTATCAGAATTTGGAATCTGTGCTGTGTTACTTGAAATATTTTTAGAACCTATGAAAAATATTATTTTATAATTTTTCTACATGTTAAACCCCAGAACTGAAAAAAGGTGTACTTTGTTTTTGATACAGATGCACCGATCCTCATTTCTTACTTCCGATGCTGTTTAGTGTCGGCCGATACCGATCCGGTACAGAAACGCAGTGCTGAATTGACTTAAGGTGTTAAACACAAATATAAAAGTTATGAATTATGCATTTATTTGAGAACTCTGTATCAGTGCAGGACTTTTGGTCAAACATGTAAAAACAACACAATTCTAACTTTAAGTCAAGAATAATTAGGAGTATAACAGCCAATGCTAATTAAATTATAAAAGAAACTGAAACAGACATAAATGATAGGTTGACTACCTTGATCAAACATGTAAAAATAAACTGCAATAAACCTTTCAAATGGTTCAGAAACACCAACTAGGAATTATAAATGTGATGTAGAATAAGATCTGCCCATATGGATCAGGTACATTGCCATTGATAAGAATAGGTTGTTTTTCAATACAGGGACTGATACAGATGTCAATATTGGATTGGTGGATTTCTAGCTTTTAACATGCACACTAAACTTAGCTGGAGATGAATTTGTGCCTCCTGTTTTTGTCTCTTTTTGACGTCGTTCAGCCTCTCAGGATCACTGGGATGAGAGCATACACCCATGAAGTGGATCAGAGGGAAGTGATTCTGGACATGAACATCGAGTCAGTGAAATTAAACTTAATTTAGATTCACAGTGAGCTCTGTAATGTCTAATCAGCTGCGTTTTCCTGCACAGTTACGACAGTGATGTGGACATCGACGCGGATGTGAACGCAGCCATCACAGTTGGCGTTAAAGGACTGAAGGTTGGTGTTCATGTTTCATTTCTGCTTCTCCTGTTTCTGTTGACTGCTGCTGTAAAACTCTCCTGACTCTTCCAGTTCCAAGGAATGCTCAGAGTCATCTTGGAGCCTTTGATTAGTCAGGCGCCGCTGGTGGGAGGAGTCACCTTTTTCTTCATTCGCCGCCCTGTAAGTCCACACACACATATTTATCTGACTAGTAAAGCAGCAGCTGTAAGATCAGAACTCATGTTTTCATCCTCAGACTCTGCAGGTCAACTGGACCGGCATGACCAATTTGTTGGACAGTCCTGCGTTTAGGTCTGACTGATGGAGTCTTCTTATTCACTCACACCTGTTGAGGTTTAGACGTCCTCTTTAATCTGATCTGTCCTCTTTCCAGCTCCCTGTCTGAGGCGGCCATTATGGACATCATTGCGTCCCTCATGGTTTTGCCAAACCGCATGTGCATTCCTCTGATTGACCAACTCAAAGTAGACGAGATGAGATTTCCTCTTCCTAGGGTGTGTATGAGATAAAACCTGAAGAGCGACTGACACTTTAAATCTGTCAAACTCGTCTAGACTCTGAATTTCCTCAAAGGACTGATTATGCCAGAATGTATTGATAAAATCCAATCAGAAACTGATAAAATATTAATAAATGGCTGTATCCTCATTCAATAAGTACCTCTTAATACAAAGTATTGAACATCTCCTCACATTGATCAGTCCCCCCAGGAACACTCAAATAACACATCCTAGATCTGAATGAATGAAATATTCTCATTGAATACTTTGTTCGGTACAAAGTTGAATGTGCTGACAACAAAATCACCCAAAAATCATCAATGGAAATCAAATTTATTAACCAATGGAGGCCTGGATTTGGAGCCACACACAAAATTAAAGTGAAATGTTCCCTTTATTTTTTTGAGCAGTGTATATATATATATATATATATATATATATATATATATATGCAACCAAAATCACTGATTGTGGTGTTAATTTAGAAATATCTGTAGGAAGTTTTGCAATCATTATGCTTATGTATGCAGTAAATGTGACTTTTTCTTACTTGTCTCGTTGATCACTATGGAAGAGAATTGGGGCCACTGAGAAAATAGGAAAAAATACGACTTTGAGAAAAAAGTCAGGATTTTCTGAAAACAATCAGAATTCTGAGAGAAAAAAAATCTGAATTTCAAAGAATAAAATCAGAATTTTAAGGGAAAAAATTAATTCTGAGAAAGAAACTGAATTCTGAGGAAAAAAAATCTGAATTCTTAGATTTCAGATTGAGAAATCTAAATCTGGATTTCAGATTTCTTGGGTCCATAATCTCATAATTATGAACCTGAATTATGAGATTATAAGACTATAATTTAAAATCAAGTATGGCAGTATAGTAGAAGATATACTGCCACCTGCAGGTGGGAGTCAATATCATTTATACCCTATGTTTTTGATAAATTTTGCAATAAACTCACAATTATGCTCTAATGTCAAAAAGTTAAGGGATCTGTTGATTTTGACTAAATTTTCAAGATGGTGAGATCATGAAAAACTGGAGTGTCTGATGTAATTTGGCAGTAAACGGATAAAAACCATTTTAATTTGATTGAGAATTATGTTGAAGGTTCTGCTTCTGTGTTAATCTGAAGTTTGGAGGACAGGAGTTTAATCCAAAAAGTTCTGATGTGAAAGCTCCTGACTGCTGCCCCCTACAGGGCGTGGTCAGGGTCCACGTGTTGGAGGCCAAGGACCTGGTGGCCAAGGACACCTACATGATGGGCATGGTGAAAGGCAAGTCGGACCCGTACGTCACGCTCCGAGTCGGCAACCGACACTTCAAAACCAAAACCATCAAAGAAAGCCTGTCTCCGAAATGGAATGAGGTTTATGAGGTCGGTAGCAAAACGTCTACGCGCTTTGACTCATCTGATGGTTTTTTGAGGTATTATGCCATCATTCCATCTGTACTGAAATGTACACCACTAATTAACATTTTCCTTTTTGTGTGCGCTTTCTTGTGTGCCCATTCTCCTTTGCTCACCTCTACGCCCATTAGGATCTAAAGCTTAATTACAATCACACATTTCTTTCTTGAAAAATTTACTCAACCTTATAGTCTCTGAAATTCTGAACAGAAAAACCTTTTCTTTGCAGTTTGTTGTTCACGAGGCGCCTGGACAGGAGCTGGAGATAGAGCTGTTTGACGAGGACAGAGATAAAGATGATTTTCTGGGAAAGTAAGAGCCAGTCTTACAGAAGTGTGTCTCTGGATACGTTTATAAATGGGGGGCCCAAAGTCGGTCCTGGAGGCCCGGCATCCTGCATGTTTTATTTCTCTCCCTGGTGGTAGTAACAGCCTCCTCAGCAAGTCATTGGTCTTCTTAGGCCTCTAATGAGCCATCATTGGATCCAGGTGTGTTAAACCAGGGAGCGAACTAAAACACGCAGGATGCCGGGCCTCCAGGACCCACTTTGGACACCCCTGGTTTATAACATTAGCATATTTGTAGAAACACCTCCTTGTTCTCAACATGGATATTTTGTGATTAAGATTACAGTAAGACATCTGTTAAATTTTCTTGACCTCAGTGGTGTGGAACAAAAGCGAAGCAGGCGGTTAATGCGACGTGTGTGTTTAAATCCTGGCCCTGATTTAATTTTTGCATGCGTTGCCATGGTTACGTGGCATGTAGGTTTTCATGACTCATGTTGTCATGCCACATAAGAATCTGGTTTTGGCTATGAATAACTATAAAAGCGACCAGAGTTGAACTGTCGACAGAAGTCTTTCCAAGGTTCCTTCTACAGAATTCTGATTAAACCAGGAAGAAGAATCAATATTAGGATTATTGTGGTACAGGAATATGTGTCTTTTGCATTCCTTGTTCATGTGTGGGATTTTATACTTCTGTCATGTTCCAAATAAATAAATAAATATTTCTGTGCTTTAGATATAACCTGGATCTTGGAGAAGTGAAACGGGAGAAAGAAATGGATGAGGTGAGAAAATCCAGAATAGTTAGTACACTGCAAAAATACAAAATCTTACCAAGTATTTTTTGTCTAGCTCCTAAATATTAAAAAATGTTATCAAAAATGAGACATTTGGCATCAATTATGAACTTAAAACAAGCTTATATTTTACTGAAGAGTTATTTGTAGACCAAATATAAAACTTTTTTGCAGTGCAACAATCCAAAGGTTAAATTTTAAACTTTGTTTCTTTTAACCACCGCTCGTGTTGTTGAAGTGGTTTCATCTGGAAGGGGTTAATAGCGGAGAGATTCACCTGAAGCTGCAGTGGCTCGCCCTGAGAACCGAATCCTCTCTGCTGAACGAGGTACGGCAGCCTGGCAGGGACATTTCTGTCAGATTAGGGCTCACTCGGTAACATCAGGGCTGTGAGTAACGTCCCGTCTTTTTCCCAGTCCAACGCCGGCCTGTCCTGCGCGATGCTCGCTGTTTATCTGGACAACGCTTCCAACCTTCCAGTAAGACGCCTGGATCTGATTCTGTTCATCTTCCATTGATTTATGACAATAAGTTGAGTTTTTACAGGGTTTTTTATGTTGTCTGCAGAAAGACCAAAAGGAGTTAACCGTACATCACAAACATGGCAAACACAGCAAAGAGGCACGGGTAAGACCAAAGCTTCATCTCATTCTTCTGTGTGTTTCTGTTGTATGTGTTAGCCAGGACTGGACTTAGGAAAAAAAAAAAAAACATCTTTTGGCGCCCCCCCAGATGTTGACGCCCTGATCAAGTGCCCATGTTAGCCTGAACTAGCCTGAAAAAGGTTTCTGTTCAGTTTAGATCAGAAAACGTAGTATTAATGGTTTGGATTAATGGAAGTTATGAAAATAAATTCATAAAATTAGCAGAATAAAGATGCAGTACTTCCAGAAAAAGTTGTTAAATTATGAGAAAAAAAGTCGTTTTTATGAGATAAAAGATTTAATAGAGTTATTAAGATCTGACAGAAATAACTCAATAAACTCAGTCGTTTGAGTTTTGCTACTGATTATAATTTAATGCTGATGTGTTCAAAGATAAAGTATTTCCTTATTTGTAAAATTGACACGAAAGTGTAACTTCATAAAATGCTCAACATTCCTCATTTAAATTTTTATATATTGTTGTAGAAGTTTTCATAAAATTACTAATTCTTTATCTTACTATTGATGTTTTTTTCTTGTAATTGGAGTTTATCCTTGTATAATTTCGACTTTATACTCATTATATTTTGATTAGTTGTTTTTATGACTTTTTTCTTGTATTATGATTTTTGTTTGCAACTCCTTGTAATATTATGACTTTTCTCATAGTATTCTGACTTTAAAGTATACATTTTGTCGTACCACTTTATTCCTGTATTATTTTCACTTTTTTTTCTCATATTATTACAACTTTTTCTCATATTATGACTTTTTTTGTCTTACAATTTTATTCTTGTAATATGATGACTTTTTTTATCATTTTTTTCAGAGTTCTTTTTATACATTTTTAACATGCTAGTTTATTCTTGTAATATTTTGACTGTTCTAATTAACTTCTTTTTGTTAACCTGGCCTCAGTCGTTGTTAGGAACTCTGATTTAAAGGTGAAGTAAATATTTTTGGGATTGTAGGGAATATTTGCCGTTTTATTTTTATTAGCAGACTCCAAAATATTTGAAGTCTGAATATTCTTTACAAACTGCTGAAAACACTCTTTACATAGTTTGTATCAAACACGACTGAAAATGCTGCTGGCTTTCTCTTGTTTTTACCTGTGTTGCCATGGTTACGCTCCACCTCATAATGAAGTGAGCCTTGGTCACGCAGGTTGAAGGAGTGCCTCACTTCTCAGTGAATTATCTGAAAACTTTCCAGTATTTTGTGCCAGAGGTCGTGGGGTCAACCCTTCGAAGCGGGATTTGACCTCGGCGTTGTGATCTTTGGCCCAGCGGCTCGGCCAGATCAGATAGTGTCTGCGTTAGTCCTGCTGCGCACAGCTGGTTTTTCCTGTTTGCTTGGTATTTAATCAGCTGATCTGAAGGGAGTTCAGTCTATTTTTAGCTGTTTTCTGGGTGGAAACAGCTACAAAAAAATCTATTATTCTGTAGAGTTACAAGATTGAAGATTTCTTTTGTATATTCCATTTTTCCATTTCATTTTATACAATACTCAGAAAGTATTTGTTTTTGTTAGAAAAATTGTATTTTTACTGTACTGTACTTCTTACTTTTGCTTCAGCGAATGAAAACAAACATGCTTTAACCAAGAATTCACCAGACAAAGATGCACACCTGCAGTTTTTGTTGAAGTTTACTAACTTTGTATATTCCATTTTTCCATTTCGCCTGACAGCTCCTGTAAATGCTGTCAGGCGTTTTTTACGCATTTTCTGTTCGTGCCTCAGGTTTTCACTGATCTCATAAAATGCTGTAATATGAAACTGTTTTTAAAAGTAATTCTTTATTTTTTACGTTCTGCACAAAGAACGTGAACGTCAAAAAATTTCTTTTTTGAAGAAAATTTTAAAAAAATTCTTTAAAATTTTTTTAAAGGAATTTTTTTTTATTTTCTAATCAAGTTATTTGTATAAATTATTTTCATTTTGACCTTTTAAAATGCCAACATTTTTCACATAGCTTTATATTTTAGTCCATCTGATGATGTAATTATTAAATTGATCAGTTACTCTTACCTGAGTAACTTCTGATAACTTTTGATCCACTGCAGTAACTTTGGTGAATGAAGAATGAAGAAAAAAACATTTTCACCAGACGCACACCTGCAGTTTTTATTGGTCCATAAGCTTTGTAGCACCTGCAGTAGCCGCTGAGCGCCCTCTGCTGGACAAAGCAGGGACTTCAAACATAATAATTGTTTTGATTTTTCTGGAATGTTAAAAATGAAATTTAACCGGCAGCAGCGTTCCAGAGGGATGATCTTTGGAGTAAATGCCTGGCGTTGGGAGGCGTGGCTGCGCTGGGGAATTTACCGACTTCTTGTCTGGTTTGTTTTCAGCTCACCAAGAAGAATGTGGGCCCCAACTCCTACGTGGAATTTACTCTTGATAAGGATGTTCAGAAGAGCAAAGTAGGAATCTGCACACATTTTCTAGTTAACTTACCTACTTATCAATGTTTTATGTTGGCTGTTTGTGTTTAATTGTTTTCCAACCTGCCATTGTGTTTTACAGGTTGCATATGCGAGTAAAAACCCAGTGTGGGAGCAGGGCTTCAACTTCTTTGTTCAGAACGTAAAAACTCAGGAGCTCACACTTCAGGTCAGTCAGGAAACACCCAGAGCTGCTGGCATGCTGGGGAAATTTACTTACCTGCAGAGTTCTGCTGTTTTTGTTTGTTTTGTCCCACTTAAATATTTGAGATCATCAAACACAAATTAAATAAATATAAAAAATCGGTTTTATTAAGAGGAAAAGGTTACATTAGCTTATTAAGGCCATTGTAGATAGGGGGAGAAAAAGAGTAAATTTCCACCAAAAAATCTCAGAAATTCTTTAGGAAAAAATAGGAAAAAACACAGAATTTTAGACTTCTGTGTTTCAGAAGTCTAAAATTTTCAACTTTTGAAACACACAAGATTTTCAAGTTTTTTTTTGCCTTTAAAATTTCTGAAGTCAAACTCAAGATTTCAAAGGTTTTTTTCTAATATATTTTCCACTTTTTAAACTCAGAAAATTTCCTAAAGTCAAAAAATTTTAGACTTTTAAAACTTTGAAAATTTCTGAAAGCTGAAAATTTCCGACTTTTGAAATTGATATTTCTGATATCAATCTCAAAATTTCTGTTTTTTTTAAATATATATATATAAAACATTTTCAACTTTTCAAATTCTGAAAATTTCCAGAAGTCAAAAATTTTCAAATGTTGAAACTCGTAAATTTCTGGGGGGTTTTCCTCTGAAATTTCAGACATTAACCTAAAAACGAGTTTTGTTGTTTTTTGTCAGAAAAAGTTCAGCTTTTCAAACTTCAAAATTTCTATGTTATTTTCTAGAAATTGTCTGAGCTTATCTCAAAATTTCAGAGTTCTATGGTGGAAATTTACTCCCTTTATGCTAAAACGGCCCTAAGACAACTTCCATACAAATCTGACACCTGAGCAACAAGCAACGCTGCTTCTCTCGGCCCACATGGGGTTAATTATGCTTCATAAAACGGACTCATTTGCCAAAGCAGTTCAAGGCCAGTGTAGCATCTCAATGCTGAGCATATAGGAAAATGATCAGTTTATCGAAAAGATCAACCAATTTAATTTAACTTATTAATTGATAACTTGCATTCCTGCTTGGTTTAGGTCAAAGACCACGAGAAGAAATCTGTCCTCGGTTCTCTCAACATTCCCATTCTTCGCCTCTTCAACATCTCCTCCATGTGTCTGGACCAGAACTTCCCGCTGGAGCGCTCCGGACCCGACAGCCAGATCAAACTGAAGGTCACTCTCAGAGTGAGTTTTTTCTGTTTTTTCCAGAAATGTATTTTTCTAGCAATTTTCTACTTTTGACACTCAGATATTTCTGATTTTTAATCTAAAAAAAAAATCTGATTTTGTTTTAGCAAATGTTTGACTTTTCAAACTCAGAAATGTAAAAACAATTATAGAAAACTGCTGAGATTAAACTCAAAATTAATTTTCTTAGAGGAAATTTTTGACATTTCAATATCAGGAAGTTCCTTTTTTTTCTAGAAAAAAAAAATTCTGAAATTTTTTTTGGCAAATTTTAGACTTTTCGAAATCAAAATTTCAGTTTTGTTTGTTTTTCTTTGGAATTGCTTTACTTTTTGAAGTCATAAATTTCCAAAAAATTATAAGAACATTTCTTAGATTAATCTCTAAATGCCTGAGCTTTTTTCTAGCACAATTTTGACTTAAAAAAAAAAATTCAAAATTAATTAATTAATTTTTTTTTCTACCAACAATGTGTACTGTCATAATTAAATTTTGAAATAGGAGGAGAAATTAACATCATCTCAAGAACATAGATTAAATACACCCTCAGTCTTTGCAAAAGAAACAGTATTATAGGACAGTGATGTATGTTTTTCTGTAATAAAGAGATAAATCTTCGTCTGAGGCGCCTGTGACTCGATCCATCTGGGACAGATCCAAAATCAACTGTTGAAAAACCAGAATGTTAAAATGCAAAAACTAATAAAGATGTTTAACTGATCACAGATTCTTACTGAGGAACGGCCACCGCCTAAAATCCCCGTCAGTTCTCCATCAAACGTCAAACAGCAGAACCGGCAGGTGAAAGCAGGAGGAAACGCCGCCGCCGCCACACCGGTTCCCTCCAGCGGCGCGCCTGTGGCTTCCTCTCCGGGTCTGCCGGGAGTCCCGCTGGACGGGACGAACAAGGCAGCTTCACCTCAGCCGCGGCGCAACTCCTTCCTGGCTTCTGAAACCAGCAAACCCTCCAACCTAAACATGCGTCGGTACGATTCCCACAGCCTGCTGTCGGAGAACTCCATCGCCTCGTCGCGCTTCGACCTCACAGACGGAGCGTCCTTTCCACAGTGAGTGGAGACGTTTTTCTCCTTCTGAAACCTGTAATGCCGGCCGGGTTCCGACCTGGTACTGGCCTGGTACCGGCCTGGTACCGGCTGGGTACGGTGGTATGACAGCACATTAGATAGGAAAAAGTTACATTTCTGCCAAAAAACAGAGACTTTGAGATGAAATTTCCTAGAAAAAACAAGGAGATTTCTGAGTTTGAAAAGTCAAAAATGTTCACATTTTGGAAATTTCCAAAAGTCAGACATTTTTAAAGATTTTTCTCAAAAATTTCAGACTTTTTTAGCAACTTTGAGATGTATGAAATTCAGAAATTTCAAATTTTTTAAATTTATTTATTTATTCTTTTTTTATTATTATTATTTTAATCTCAGACATTTTTCATTTTTGGAAATTTTTTGAGTTTCAACAGACCGAAGCTCCAAATGTCAAAATTACAAAAAGTCCAAAATTATTGACTTTTTGATTTTCTAGAAAAAAAACATGGAAAATTCTGAGATTGATTTAAATATTTCTGAACTTTTCTCAGCAAATTTTCAAACTCAAAAAACTTGTTTTTCCTAGAAAATTTGAGAGATTTTGGCAGAAGTTTCCTTTCCTCTTAATGTAGGAAGCTGTGAAAACGTAACTTTTTGTTGTGTTTTAACCCTTGCAGGGCCATCAGGGACCATCAGGGCTCGTTTGGGGAGATCAACCTGACTGTTCGCTACGCTACCATGAGGAACAAACTCATGGTCCTGGTTCATGCCTGCAGGTTTGTTACAGAATTCATCCTTTTATGATTCTCCAGCATCAACATCATTTATTGGTATTATTGACCTTTTGCACCTGATCACGTTGAGGCGCCATGACGGATGTCGGAACAGAGCGACATCCATTGCTTGTTTTGACATCCGTCTTAGGTAGAGAGTCGATACAAACCCTCAGGATTTGAAAACTGAAATGTTTCCCTGCAGAAACCTGTTTCCCTGCAGCGACAGCGGCACGGACTCCTACGTCCGCATATATCTCCTCCCAGACAACTCCTGGAGACACCGCAAGAAGACGCACGTCAAGAGGAAGACAGTCAGGCCTATTTTTGAAGAAAAGTAAGACAACTCAGTCATCCTGTGAAGCACAGATTAATGATCTGAAACAGAAAATCATGAAGTTTCTCCTTTTTTTTAATATAGGTTTGAGTTTGACGTGTCGCTGGAAGACGCTCAAACCAGGCAGTTGGACGTGTCTGTCAAAAATAACAAGATGTTCCTAAAAAGGGAGAGAACAGACATTGGAATGGTACTTTGGATTTGGTTTACAAATAATTAATTCATAACCTAATGGCTTAAAATTTGGCACATCTTTCTTTGATTTTGCATTTTGAAACACTGGAGTTTAATATTCTGCTGTTTTCAACAGTTGATGTTGGATCTCTCACAGATCGATCTAGTCAAAGGCGCCTCGGACTGGTATGGAGCAAAATTCATCTCTTTTTGTTGCTCACATGTTGCATCAACAGAAAAACATACAATATTGTCATATAATGTAGCTTCTATTGCAAAATTTATCGTAAAACTGAAATTAGGAGGTTAATTTCTCCTTCTGTTACCGGTTTTGGATTACAACCAGGGTCATTGCAAATAGAAAAAAATTAAGAAAAGTGTATTTAAATAAAATCAATTTCCACCAGTAAACTCAGAAATATTTTAGGAAAAACTTGGAAATTTCAGTTTCAAAAGTAAAAAATTTAGCTAGAAAATTTTCTGAAATTTTGAGACTAATCTCAAATTTTCCTAGTAAAAAACTGAGTTTAAAAAGTTAATGGAAAAACATCAGAAATTTTTAGATTGATCTCAGAAATTATCTAGAAAAAATTGTAAATTTCTGAGTTGGAAATTTTCAAGTTATTTTCTAGAGTAATTCTGAGATTAATCTCACTTTCTGAGATTTTTCTAGCAAATGTTTGACTCTTCAAACTCAGTTTTTTTTTCTAGAAACGTTCTGAGATTAATCTTAAAATTTCAGATTTTTACTTTTTGCAATTTTTCAACATTTGGAGGTCAGAAATTTCTAACAGTTTTTCTAAAAATTTTAGATTAATCTCAAAAGGTGTTTTGCTGAAATGTACTCCTTACTCTTTAGTTTTCTTGGTAAACAAAGATATAATAAGGTACAACTAACTTGAACCTGGATGAAAATATCTTACAATATTACAATATTGCTGAAATCAATAATATATTACAATTTTAGATTTAATTCCCATAATTTTATAACATTCTCCCTCTGCTGTGCCCTGATTGATGGTTTGGTTGCTCTACTGAAACCTGCTTGTAGAATAAATCTATTTTGGTCCATAATGACATTTTATTTTTCTGTCTTTTTAAGGTTTGAACTTACAATACCTGGACTGTCGAGATCGACGAGGCAGAGTCACTTTTAGAGGAAGTGACTCTTTTCCAGCAGCTTCTAAAACTCTTATTTTGAAACTCTGTTGAGGTGACGTTGTCTCTTCCCTGAATGTTGCGGCGCCAAGCGAATGTGCAAATATTTTGTTCTGTATTATGAGCAGCTTGGGCTGTAATGATAAAGCTATTTGTATCATTTTATTGAAAATATATTTAAAAAATGCTGATTCATTCCATAGAGGCCAAAACAATTTGTTTTTTCACTTCATCTGTGCTGGAGTTGGAAATAATCCAAATGAGAAACAACTTAAAAATGAGAATCATTTTAAATTGAGGAAATTTCAAAATATTTGCTGAATTTTAGAAAGTGTCTATGCAGTCAGGTCGTTTTTCTGAAGTTTTGGGTAGAAAACTGAGAGCGAATCACAGGAGGAGCCGAGAGCTTTTAATGTTTTAGGAAGTTTTTAAACATGTTCGCTTTTTCTCTAAAGTTTTTCCACAAACCGCATTTCTTGTTGAATAATTTCTGTCATCCAAGTGTTTCACTTTAACACATTTTTACATTATAAAGTTCCAAAATTGAATTTTATTTAAACAGTCACATTTATTGGTTGAAAACGTCAGCTTTGAGGCTAACAACTGACTCATAATAAATACCATAAATCATTTTAGGATTTCTCTGAGAAATTTATGCACTAATTTCTTTTAAAGTTTTCTGTTATTTTTAAGTTACAAAGGAGAATTGTTTCCAAGTTTGTTGAAGTAAAAATGAATTTTGTTTTCAGATATTTATTAAAAATAAACCTATTCAAACAGACACACTGTGGTATTATTTGTTTTTACTGTGAAATTATGACTCTTCATGTTAAAGTTCATGAAATAATTTTTTTTTTACATTTTTAAAATATGAGTGATATTTTTACTACGAGGTTGAATGAGGCTGATAGATGAAACATTTCCACTAAAAACAAACTCCTGCTGAAAAAACATTCAGAAATTTGACATTAACCTCCAGAAAATATATGAAAAACACTTTTCAAAACAAAAAAGAAAAGTTGAATATTTGCAAGGAAAAACAGATTTTGTGATTAATTTAAATTCCACATTTTTTTCTTGCAAATGTTTAGCTTTAGAAACTTCCACATTTTTCTCAAACTTCTGACAATCATTTCACCAAAAAATAACAGAAAATTTGAGATTAATCTCAAGAAATGTTCTAGAGAAAGTGTAGTTGAAAGTCAGAACATTTACAGGAGTAAAAAATGTTCAACTTTTGAGACTTTTTTTTCATTTAGAACATTTTCAAATTTAATCTCAAATTTTCTGTTTTTGGGTGGATTTTTTCCCCCCCACAATACGTGTTGTCCTGTACAGTCTCTTTGTGTTGTACTCTTTTTATACATACAGGCCCACAAAAATTGAAAATATTTATGTCAGTAACTCCATCACCTATTAAAAAACTTACAATGAATGAAAACAGGATATTTAAAATTAGAATATTAAAACAGACCAATAAAAACGTATTTTTAAAAACAGAAGTGTTTTTTATTGCATTCGCTAAATAACAGAACGGAAACGATCAATGTAAATATGGGGGCAATGTAAACAGGAACGTTTGAAGTTGAGTCAAGTTTCTCTTACGTCGTTGTTTTAATGCAATCAGGCACCTTTTGGCTTCATAATTTATCTTAAATCGACCCAGTTGGTTCCGATAGAAATGAGGTTCCGTTTTATTTGTTTTTTATTTTGTAAAGAAGTACAGAAAAGGTTTTAAAAAGCCGTTTATCAGTGGGAGAAATGCATCTGTGCTCATAAATCTCAGTCCCCGCTGCGCTCAGGTGTTTCCGCGTCGCCTAGCAACCGCCCTGGCAACGGAATAAATGTTTCTGTTGATCGCAGAAAGTTTTTAACTTAAACAATGAGTTTAAAAAGGAAGAAACCTGATTTTGCAGATAACCCAGATGTTTATGTACATGCTCCAGATGTACAAGTAAGTGGGAGAAAACTGAATTATTAAGAAAATGCTTTTTTTTTTTTTTTCCCCAAGTTCATGCGATTCTGACGCTAAACAAGCAGTTTGACGTTATTTTTATGTCCCAATATTACATATCTTTGCTATGTTTTTGTAATTTGCTGTATTAATTTAAAACAGAAAAGTTATTCACTAATATTCGTTGCTTAGTCCGGCAGCCAGGAGCCGTGGATTGAAGCAAAGCCTTCATTTTCCCTGTTTGAAGGCACGAATGAAACGACCGAAGCAGCACCTCCGGAAGGTAAATAAAATATAATTATAATTTCTGTAGCTTCGTATGAGATTGTTGGTGCATTTAGCTATACTGTTTGGCTGCAGGAGATGGAGCTGACAGCAGACCCAGCGGAACCACCAGCAAAGCTTTAATTGGGCTTTACCACAAACCTTTACCGATGAGGCTGCGCAGCTCCAGGGCGAACCGGGCGGATCAGAGGGAACAGGACCGGAAACTGACAGAAAGTGTCGTGGAAACTTTGGGGTGAGCTTTCATCAGGCTCCCATAAAAAGATCTCCCATTACTTCTACTCCATACTACGGAGGAGGATTATAACGAATAAGAATATTTTTATTATGATGGATAATGTAATGGTGAAATTTTTCTAAGATTTCTGATTTTTATTTCAAAATTCTATGTTTTCTTTCAGGATTTTCACTTTTTCTCAGAATTTAATTTTTCTGTCTTGGATCTCAAATTTATTTTTCTCTGAATGTATTTTTCTCAGAATTTTGATTTTTTTTTTCCTCAGAATTCTAACTTTAATATCAGAATTAATTTTTTTCCCCAGAATTCCACATTTAATTTTAGAATTAGTATTTTACTCTCAGAGTTATTATTTCTCAGAATTTTGACTTTTTTCCTCTAGATTCCAACTTTAATCTCTGATTCCTTTTTCTCTGATTTTTTGGGGAAATTTTGACGTTTTCCTCAGAATTCAGACTTTAATCTCAGAATTCTAATTCTGTCAAAATCCAAATAAATTTCCAAATATTCTTGGGTGTATGTCAGTTAAGTAGTTAGCAAATGAAACTTATTACCCAGCTATTCCTTCCTTCTTATAGGGTTTGTAAATCTGCACTTTATACAAAACTGAAAGCCCCAAATCCATTTGGTAGATTTTTGTTTAAAGAGTGTGTTTGCTTGATGGTGCAGAAACAATTTAAGCAATTCTAAATCTGAGGGAAAAAAAGTAAAATTAAATTTTTTCGGTGGCACTAATCCTCTTCCATTGCATTTCTAGTATATAACAAGTTAATAACACCTCCAGTTTGTTAAATATGCCAATAATTAAATCATGTTGTCTGATTTCAGCCAGCGGGTTGCTGAGGGCGGCTCCACAGAAACTGGATCCTTCAGATTTACAGACGATGCCAAACGTGAATTGGTAAAAAATAAATAAAATAAAAAAATAAATAATATATATATATATATATATATATATATATATATATATATATATATATATATATATATATATACACACAGTATTTTCCTCAATATAATGCGCACCACATTATAAGGCGCATAGAATAGACTCTACAGTAGAGGCTGGAGTTACGCTATGCATCCACTAGATGGAGCTGCACTAACGGGAATGCCAACAAAACAGTCCGACTCCGGTCGGCGAGAAGAGCCTTCCGCGACTGGGCCAGGGCGTGGCCGGACGATGGTCACCCTTCTCTGTTCACGCAGAACGTGGTGCTAAATGACCTGCAGACGACCTGATTCTAGATAGGTCAGTCAAACTTTATTAACAAATCAGCGTTCTGACAACTATCCCAGCATGCACCGCGCGCTTCTTCTTCTTCTACGGGCGAAAATGTAGTCGGCGGCTGCTTACCGTAGTTGCTAGACCTGTTGTGGCTCAAAATTGGTCCATATATAAGGCGCACCAGCTTATAAGGCGCACTGTCGGCTTTTGAGGAAATTGAAGGTTTTTAGGTGCTCCTTATAGTGCGGAAAATACAGTACACACACACACACACACACACACACACACACACACATATATATATATATATATATATACACACACACACACACACACACTGATATATCCTATATCAGTGTACCTGCTCTGCTTGTGCCATCAGCGGAAAAAATACCGAAGCTAACATCTGCAGTTTTCCTTATCTCTGCTCTTCAGCCAATCAGCATGAAGGAAAGTGCTTCTCCTGGACTGGCTGATTTATAAACATCAGCCAATAGTGTGTCAAGGAGCATTGTCATTAAAGCTGCTTACTTTGGATATAACAAATTTTCTGGACGATAAATTGTCCCAGATAAATAATGATGTTGTTTTGAGACCATTTTCAGGCAGAATAATGGAGAGAAGAAATAAATCGATAAAAACGTGTTAATTTAACTGGCAGATTATTTCAGTTAATAATCTGCCAGTTAAATTCCCTTGTTTCATTAATAACAAGGGAAAGATATCTTTCCCTTGTTATTAATGAAATAATCTACCAAAGCTTTTTTGTAAATATTAAGGAGTTACTTATTTAAAATAGTCCTTATATTTTGCTGAAAAGTTACTTAAGTCAGTTTTGTCTTCTTTCATTTGCACTAGAAACCAGACCAAAAGAGGTCAGATTTTGTGTTTTTGCACTGTAATTGAGACCAACTGCATCTGTTTTTGTCTTCCAATTTCTGATATAAATCATCGAAATGAAAATTATTAAGCTTGTTTTAATCTATCATACGATTTATTGAATTATTGCGACAGGTTTAGATATTTTTTGGGTTATTTTTATTCTCAATGAACAAACATCTAAACTAACTCTTCCTAAGCTCACTGTGTGCTCCTGAACGCTGCGTTGTGTCCTGCCAGATGTTTAACTACTATATCCAGAGGGGCATTGGCCTGGTGAACCTGGCACGTCTGCAGGACTCCTGGATGGACAACATCCATGCGCTGATCCCCTCCAAGCTGAGGCGCCTGAGCACATCGCTGGAGGAGCTGGATGACGAGACCAAGGCAGAATATCTGCAGAGCATCAGGGCTGCAATCCGTATGAACCCAATTATTTCCAGAAATAATGTAAATGAATGACAGGGGTTCGTTGATCCTCTCAGATTCATATGGATGAATCTGGATGAATGGCTGAATGTGTTTTGATTATAGTCCATTAAGAAAAATCATGATTTTGTTTTTAAGTAATGATTTAATGTCTGCTGTGTTTGACTGCAGTAACCAAAACCCTCCAGGATCAGAGTGGAAAGGAGGCGGGAGCCGAGGAGGAGCTGCCATCTCACAGACTGGAGTCAGTCCCTTCAACCTCCTAAGATGCTAATCAGATATTTAGTTTGTATCTAAATACTGAGCAAGAAAGTGAAATATTTAGCTTGGATTATGTTGTGGAAAGTGAGGAAAAACTGTTTCAAGACCCAAAGAACCAGAGAAAGAATATATTCTTAATCAGTGTTTATTCGAATCTCTGCTCACTGATGGCAGTCAGGAGAAAGAGCCTTGAGCAGAACAGCTTACAGTTTTGTAGGGAGAGTTTCATTCCTGTCACATAGTTTGATAATCTACTTGGTTACAGAACAGATAGTCACCACACGTATCTTCTTTCACTAGGGGAGTCAAGCACGTCATAAGAATGCATAGAAGAAACAATTTAATAATTTTATTGGCCCGAGAAGTAGCTCCAGAAGATATTCTCATGAGCACGTGTGTCACACAAGAATCATAATACTGTTATGATCTGATTTAGTTAATAATCATAGTAAGCTTAAAATTTTCCACTACACTTACAAAATGCTACATAGCTTGACCTTGACTGCT